ATTACATTATTTAAAAAAAGACAGCTACATCTTTGGTCAAGAAAGTTTGCAGGAGTCCTCTGCTGCAGGACACCTGCTGAGATGGTGGGGGTAGGACAAAATCACAGTTTCCAGTATCAGAAAGGGGCGCCTGCTAAGTTTCAACCCGGCAGCAATTGTGCTAAATTATCCCTGTCTGTGAAATTCTTGGCTGTTCCAGAAGGACACATTTCATCTAAAATTCCCAGTTGCTTCCAATGCAAATATTCTTTTTAATAGTAGCTCCTTTCAATATGCAGCACCATACACATGCCTCTTCCTATGTTTATTGTTATGAGTATGGATAAGCTCATATTCTAGAAAGTCAGGATGGGTATCTTCTTCAGCTCTCAAATTCTCTTGAACAGGGCTTTTCAACCTTTTCAGGCATTGTACCACTTTTAGGATATGGCAATATCTGAGTACCACCAGTTGCCTAGCAAGGTGTCAAAAACGTGATGACCAAAAAAAAAAAAAAATTGAAAAAAGTGATAAAGTACAGGTAGTCCTCAACTTACAACAATTTGCTTAGTGACTGTTCGAAGTTACAATGGCACTGAAAAAAGTGCCCCCCAAGGCACAGCCGAGCAAGACACCTGCCTGCCCACCCGGTGGCGCTCTTCCTCCTGTCCGAGGTTTTCATTGTGAGCATTTCTGTTGAGGATTGGCAGTGGGGGTGGGGGGAGGGGTGTTTGGTTTTTATTCCCCTTGTCTGCTGGGTGGTTGCAGCAAATTTTGGTCACTTCACATGACCCTGGGACACTGTGACCGTCATAAATATGAATCAGTCGCCAAGCATCTAAATGTAAATCACAAGACCCTGGAGATGCTGCAACATTCCAGCTGATCGGTGCTTCTTCTGGGCTCAGCAAAAGCGCCAGGATCAGTGCCGAGCTCCAGCTGGAGCCTGGCGCTGAGCCTGGTGCTTCCACTGAGCCTGACAACCCTGAAGAAGTGCTGATCCTGGTGCTTCCGCTGAGCTCTGACAGCCCTGCAGCTTCAGCCATCACTCGCTCAGGCTTGTGCGGTGCTGCCACTGGTTCAGCTCATTCCCCTCCCCCGCTACCACTTTTCTAGGATGGTTGCGTAACACCTGCCAGGTGCCAATGTACCACAGGTGGTACCCGTACCACTGGTTGAAAAGCCCTGCTCTTGAAAGTATGGCTACTGTTTTATCATATAACAATTCAGATTCTCACAATTTTTCAGTCTCCTATATTCTAGGCATTATTGTGAATCTTCTCTGCTAGCTCAAGAAGAGGTTTTTTTACCTGTTTGGCTACATTAAATTTCCTGGATATGACATAGTCTGACTTAAGAGGAACTTACCTCCAGCAGTTCACTTGTTTTATAAACGGTAAAATCTTTTTTACTTAGCAAAATGTTATCTGCAGGGGTTCCAAAGAATACTTAATCAGTGATCCATCAGAGCTGAATTATTTTCCTTCTCTTTCTCTCTTCTCACACACAGATATATATGTTGCATTCAACTTACAGATAAAAGCAAACAGTGCATGCTCTGGAAACAAAATATATATGTAAGAGTTGTAGTTATTGGTGTTTACAAGAGGTGCATTCCACACTTGCTAAGAGTAAAGATTCTGAACTTTCATTAAAAGAAAAGCAAGTATTTAGCTTTTCTAGAAGCCCAATGTAACCCAAAATATGTCATGAGTCATCTGCCAATTTTGCAAGAAGAAGGTTATTCCTGCGTTTTGGTATTTTTAAGCAACAAATGAAGGGATTTTTTAAAAAATCTTCCCTGGTGAGAAATGATTGCAGCCTGGTAAAAACCAATTCAGAAATTGAGCTTTCATTGTAGCTGTGATTGGGCAGTATAATGGGCCTACCCCCTACCCCCCGCCCCCCCCAAGAAAAAAGATATGATCAGAGACAGGAGTTTGTAACATTACTAATGCAACATCTTTTCTTTAAATACAATTTATTTGAGTTGCTAGGCATTCTTTAAAACATTGTTCTGTTATCATTGAACCTATAAGGCAATCAGCACTGCGATATTTGGGAGACGGTGGGTTATACCAGACTTACATAGTAGTCCCATTGTATTGTGACTGCAGTGATAGGTAGTTTAACTGGTGTTGATTAGGTCCGATCTGTTGGGCTTTTAAAAATGGAACTAGGACAGTGGTGGCGAACCTATGGCACGCGTGCCAGAGGCAGCACTCAGAGCCCTCTCTGTGGGCACACAGGCCATGCCCTGGAGATGGCAACCGTCCCTCTTCAACCAGCCGCCCACTAACTCAGCGAGGTTCCACATGGCCAGATGCATCCCACCACCCATGCGCTCACTGGCCTCTGTGTGCAGAGGTCAATGGTGTCAGGCAGCAACTGCCCCTGCCACACCTTGCCCTGTGACAATGGCACCTCCACCCTGCCTCGCCTCACCCTGCAGGACGAGCCTCTTGCCCACCGCCCCACCTGGCAGAGACCCCCTGGATCTCCCCCAACCCTGCCCGGCCCCCACAGGTGTCCCTCGAGCAACATCGAGGTGATCACGCCCACCTTGGCTACTCCCACCCAATCTTCCATGATCACCACAGCCACGCCCACCCAGTGGCCACGCCCACCTGGCACCCGGAGATAAATAAATGGGTTTTGGGTTGCAGTTTGGGCACTCGGTCTCTAAAACGTTCGCCATCACTGAACTAGGAGAAGGGGTGAAATTGTAATAGCTGAGTAATTTAGACCGCATACATATTTACTTATGATTGAGATAAGCAAAGTTACAATTTTTCTATTCTCTGACTTTCTGGAGTGTCTTCTCCTTTTCTTTTAAAGTAAGCTTTGGTGTTGAAGCAATGTGGCATGATGACGATGATGGCTATTTATAGCTCAGTGACTTGTCTTCAAAAGTGCTATTAAAAATGGTATAAACCGTTTACAATGGAAGCAATTATCCTCAGAAGTGGTGGGCTTCCCTTCGTTTGCTGTGTTCAAAGGGAATTGAGACAACATCTATGGGGGGGGGGTTCCTTCAATCTGGATTCTTGCATTGAGCGGAAGGTTCACCTAAATGGCTCCTTCCAACTCTACAGGGCCATAATCTTAGAGTACTTTGTCTCTTGTGTTTGACTTAGAGAGGAAAACTTGTGTAATAAAATTAATTAATTAACTGATTGATTCTGTTTTTATCCCTCGCTCTCCAAAATGGTACTCAAAGTTGTTCTTAATTTCTAGATCTCCCTGTGGTTGATTAGGAGCACCTCAATTCATTGTAAGTCATTCTGTCCATGACCAATATCAAGCACTGGTTTTAGAATTTGAACTATTTCTTGGATTTTAATTCTTAAGGATTTTAGGCACAGGTAGGAAACTACAATCAGGATCCTGGATCCTAAGGTTTCCTTTTGAAAAGGAAGGGGGTAGACGTAGTACAACCAAATACTTAAGCTCTATAAATCTTGGTGGAACGTCTGTACAATCTGCTACATCAGTAGAACATTAGAAATGGACTCTGATACAACTGAGACTTGTTGTTGTTGTTTTTATATTAGGTTAGCTAATAAAAACTGTGGCTGATTAATCATGCAAAAGTCAACTGAGTTTCAGACTCTGCCCAAATATATTTCTTTCTACTTGTCCCCAATGCAAAAATACATTTTCCATAGACTCCATTGCTTCTCAATAGAAATAATCACAAATCTTTCCAAAAAGTATGGAGAGGCTCTCACGGGTGAACCATGACTTTGTAGGCCAAAGATCCCAGGTTTATGCCCAGACCTTTCCAGGTAAGACTGGCAAATCTAAAACCTTGGAGAGCTGCTGCCAGTCAGTATAGAGCAGGGGTCTTCAAACTTGGCCCTTTTATGACTTGTGGACTTCAACTCCCAGAATTCCTCAGCCAGGCATGCTGGCTGAGGAATTCTGGGAGTTGAAGTCCACAAGTCATAAAAAGGCCAAGTTTGAAGACCCCTGGTATAGAGCCAATGTGGTCTAGTCAGTGGTTAAGGCAACAGGCTAGAAAATGGGAGGTCATGAGTTCAAGACCCGTCTTAGCCATGAAAGCCAGCTAGGTGACTTTGGGCTAGTCATTCTCCCTTAGCCCAACTCATCTCACAGGTTCATTGTTGTAGGAAAAATAAGCAGAGGAAGTGTGTTGGACATGTTCACTGCCTTGAGTTATTTGTAAAAATAATAAGGGCAGGATACAAATAAGTAAATAAATAGACAACATTAAGTGAAATGGACAAGAGCCTGATTCACTCTAAGGCAGGTGTCTTCAAACTTGGCCCTTTTATGACTTGTGGACTTCAACTCCCAGAATTCCTCAGCCAGCATGCCTGGCTGAGGAATTCTGGGAGTTGAAGTCCACAAGTCATAAAAGGGCCAAGTTTGAAGACCCCTGGTCTAAGGCAACTTCATATTTGGATTCTAGAACATGGGAGGGATACAGTTTACTATCACATTATAAGTTGCAGCTTTGTCCATGATTTTGGGGGAAAATCCTGCAAGGAACCATGGTTCCAGCCCCCCAACAGATCTGGGAATTCTGGCAGTTATAGAATTAACATGTCTAGAGATCTCCAGGCTGGGGGGGGGGAACTGATGGATAATTTGCAAACAGATGCTGAGATATGAGATGCACACTTCTTAGACATACAGAAACTGCAAAATTGTGGAATATTTCCTTTTAAAATGTAGATTTAAAAAATAAATAAAAATAAATGTAGATAAATAAATTCATCATACCGACAATTAAACAGCTGGCTGCATCTGGTCTACAAAATCCTTCAAAATTCTCATGAAATTGGCATATCACTCTGTCAAATACAGAATGGGTAGAGCCTCTCTCTCTCTCACTCCTCTTCTCCCCTCTTCTTTTACTTTTATAATTGACTAGGTTCAAAGCTTCAGGCTCATCTGAATGGCATTTTTCTTGCTTCCAGTTAAGCCCCCTTCCTACTTGAATTCTCTGGCAACTGCAGGAGTGAGTTTGGGAGAGGAAGACCCCTGTGTTGTACCTGCTCCTTGATTTCCTCCAGTCCCAGCGTGGCAATACTGCCCAAAGGCTTCTTCAGGGCAGGTTTGGGACGCCGTAGGCCATGGGCCACCTTGTCGCAGATCACCTGGAGCACAGCAAAAGACAGGAGAATGACAACAGCAGGGCTTTTATATTCTGAGATGGCTATATCGCAGGAAATAACTGTAACCCTTGAGGGTTTTAATGTTTTTCAATGTTTTTTAAGTTGTAGGCCCGGGGTCTTCAAACTTGGCCCTTTTATGACTCGTAGACTTCAACTCCCAGGATTCCTCAGCCAGCGTGCCTGGCTGAGGAATTCTGGGAGTTGACGTCCACGAGTCATAAAAGGGCCGGGTTTGAAGACCCCTATTGTAAGCTTTCCAGATAAATAAAATAAAACAAAATAAATATTTTTTTCTAGTTTTCCATTACCCATCAAGCTCATCATGTGGACCAGTGGAATTTCAGTCAAAGGCCCAAAGTTGAAAACCAGAGGTACAGAACTGTGGAAGGCTTCAGGCTGCATTCTGATAGGGCGTATGCCAGAAGACCAGAAAAAAAAGAGATCTCTTTTTTTAAAATGTAAGACTCCACGATTGATTTATTAATTGATTGATTGATTGCACAGTTGTCTAGGCCACTGCAATCAGAACTGCCAGTTGGTAAAATTATTACCCATCACCTAGTAGTTTTTCCACTGTAATGGTACAATTTATGGGTCAATTTTGAAAGCCTTTGGGGTCCTCCATCAAAGGCTTGGGGCTTCTGATTGCATTCTTCACAGCTTAGCTGGCAATCTGAGAACACGGATAGTAGAAAATATTGCCAGCAATCCTCTTTTGTTTGAATAGTGGAAAAATGCCCCTCCTCTACTTTTTATTGAATATATTTTAAGGTTCACAGCTTTAATTATAAACTTTTTTGTGTTGCTTCAGTCTCAGAAGCAATAGATAGACATATTAAGTCATAAATAAATAACATCATGTACATACGTTTCAATGCATAAACAGTGTGTTCATCCACTATATTACACTATGATTTGTCTAGCTATATTTTAACAAACTACCATTGTCTGGGTTTTTACATAACACAGAAGGTCAAATCCAAACAAATGATTTGGTCCTCTGGAAATTATGTAGCCCTGAACCTGTGGTTCAGAACTTCTTTGAACATTACTGCTGACAATCAAAGTCATTGTTTCCTGTTGCTTTGCCACAAGAAATATACAAAAACTTTCCCAAGTCCAGAAAAACAAAATCCTGACCTTGTTCACATGTCCCCACTCATCCGCCGCCCAAAACCCACACAGTGCAAATCATGATTATCAATACAGTTGAACTTCAGCTTTGATCAGCCCACCTACTGGCCCTGCCAGTTGGGACTGACCAGAATCAGAAACCCAGCTATACTGCAGGTTCTCCAGCCCCTTGCTCTAGAGAGAGGTATTTATTTCACAGCTGAGGACAGCATAACTCTCAAACAGGCGGCGGCTCATCATTTAGTGACAGAATTAGATTTAATACATGGCAGGATAAGTTTGGCTTCCCCTCCCCTTTTCCAGGGCAACCACGCTCTCCTTCCAGCTCAGCCTACTCTGTTTCTGAATAGGTTCTTACCTCACAGATGTAGTCCAAGATTTCCAAGATAGTTAAGACACTGGCCCCAATGAAGAGGCCCATCTGGCCTCCAATGTCCCCTAGTGACAAACAAGAGGACAAGGATTGGCATCTTGAAAGTAACCAGCCAGGAGTCAAAAATACTGATAACTGGGAAGGATTGGGTGATAGAGTCTGAAGGCTGGATGGCAAGCATGGCTCTGCTTTCCCTAGGATCATCATCTCCTTCTCTTTGGGAGCACCCCACTCTTCTCTCCATCTCCTCTAGAAGGAGAAGATGAAGGAGGGATAGGTATTCATCCTGCTATAGGTACCACAATTCTTGAACAGTTGGTGCCTTATGGAGAATTCCGGAAGCCTGATCTAGGTGCCTTTTTCCCTGTCACTGTGGAGACTTTCTAAAGGAAGAAATTTTCGGAAGACGTGCCACCAGTTATGGAGGCTAGACAGCCTTCCTGCAGTTCTTAGCTCAAGAACAGGAAAGATCATTAAAGTGCCACAAGTTGCTGTAAGACCTGCGATGGTTCTGGTAGTAGTCCTCAGCCTAAGCCATTTTGAGCCAAAGCCAAGCTTGCCTGCCCATCTTTTTCATCTGCTCACACAATCCTTGCCTCCTCAGCACTTGCTTTGCTTCCAGGATTGAAGCGCTCACCCTGGGGGAATGGTAGAGAAGAAGCTGTGTAGGCTCACTCACCCAGAAGCCCTGCCAGATTGTATGCCTTCTTCTGTTCAATTGCCTCATAATTCAGTGCCTCAAAGAAGATATCCAGCACCAAGAAGTTCTCCCTTAGGACGGTGGGAATAATGGAAGCAGGAGAGAGAAGATTTACAAGCAGAGCTTTTCCATATATCCCTCCATATAGGCCCTCCAGGCCTTATCTACTGAAGTTTTGTGCCATCACTACAATGTAGGAAGTTTGTCCATTGACTTGAGCTACTATCTAAATTCTTCAGGTGCTCCTCAGCAACGCGTTACTCACCGGATATAGGTCTCATTGCGGTTGTATTTGCGAGCAAGGTACCGGGCCGAGCCTTTGTTGGGAATGCGTACCATGGAAATCTCCTTGCCATAGCGGGTCACATTACATGGTGTGGGGCAGATACAGCGTTCCTGGGTATCTTCAATGGCTGTATCTAGGAGTGGAAAGGCATGCATGGACAGAATGGATCTGCTTTAGAATAAAATACCACGTAGAAAAGGAAATTGCTATCTCTAAGGCTATGACACACGGACTAGATAATTGGCAGACTTCCCCATTTTTCAGGAATTTTGACTGCAGCCTACAAAGATACCCTAGTAGTCAAATCACCTTCAGTGGTTGCTTAGCAGATCTGGGGTAGCCAGTTTGTTAAGAGGGCAGAGCATTCAAGAACTATTCCCATGAGCTTCGTACTTTAATTATCTTGTACTCTAGCTATCTGGCCATTCTGCCAAACAAGTATTTGATTTTATTATGCATAGGGGTCTCATGAAACAGACATGGGAAGCCGAAGGTTGTGTGTACTTATTTAAGTTGAGATGGGAGAGATGGTAGCTCTGGTCATAACCGCAGATGTATGGATGTTTTAATTTTGTAAACTGCCAAGGGTCACAATACTGCACTACTGTAGTATGTGCAGTTAACAAAGGAATAACCACCACCCACTTTGTTCATACCCATCACAAGCATAACACCTCCCACTCATTGCAGGGGGGAGGGCAAAAAAATTGCCTGCTCTTGCCCTAGATTAGGAGTAGGCAAACTTGGCTCTTTTATGACTCGTGGACTTCAACTCCCAGAATTCCTTTTTTTTTTGTAAAGATTTTATTGATTTTCTTTTGTATACATATGTTAATTTTTCAATCAACGAGTTTGTTTGGGATTAGCTATGCTAATACATATTCAATTCCTAATCCTTCATTCTTTCCTCTAACCAATGATAAAATAGATCCCAAATTTGGTAGTAGTCCTTGTCTTCTTTATCTTTCAATCTCATAGTTAATCTGTCCATCTCTGCACATTCCAATATTTTCCTAATTATTTCTTCTTCTGATGGCAATTCTTCATTCTTCCAGTATTGTGCGAAGATTATTCTCGCTGCTGTAGTGATGTGCAAAATTAAGAATAAACTCTGTTTATTAATCTTTTCAGGGATTATACCTAGTAAAAAAAGTTCAGGTTTAAAATCAACATGTTCACCTAATAATTTTTCTAACCACGTATGTATCTTTCTCCAATAAGCCTTAGCTTTGCCACAAGTCCACCAAATGTGGTAATACGTGCCTATATTATGTTTACATTTCCAGCATCTATCTGACATATTTTTAAATAGTTTTGCTAATCTTGCTGGCGGCAAGTGCCATCCATAAAACATTTTATACAAGTTTTCTTTATATGAGGTTGACATTGTTAGTTTATAGTTTCTTCCCATGGCATTTGCCACTTTTCTAATTCTATATTATAGCCAAAGTTTTTTGCCCATCTTATCATTGTTTCTTTAACTTGTTCGCTTTCCATTTCCAAAATTAACAAAAAATTATACATTTTCTTAATTAATTTCTCATCTGAGGTTAACAAAATCTTGTTGAACACAGTTTGATCTTTATAGAATCCATACATTTTCACATCTTTTTCATATCTATTTTGTATCTGTAAATGTTCCCACCATGACAGGTTGATCCCCTGATTTTCCAGTTCTTGCTTAGATTTTAAATTCCCATCAATATTTAGAATATCTCTATATGCCCATATTTTTTCAAAGTCTACCAAGTTCGGATGTACAAATGCCTCCATCATTGATAACCACCCTGGAATTTTTAGGTATATTTTAGTTTTAATTTTTCCCCATACTATTAACAAGGCATTTCTTATAAAATGATTTTGAAAATACTTATGAGCTCTATTTTTCCATGCTGGCTCAGGAATTCTGGGAATTGAAGTCCACGAGTCATAAAAGAGCCAAGGTTGCCTACCCCTGACCTAGATCTCTTTCAGAATTGCTACTGATCAACATTCCCACATGGCCGTCTTAGGATAGTTTGTGGAATTCCCAGTACTTGTAATTTCAGCTCAACTTATATCACACATGCACACTTTCATCAGGCTGGAAGCCATTTTCTTCCCCTCTATCAAGCTCAATAAAGCCAAGCTTGAAAGTTAAGATTTCGGCTACCATGAAAATTTTGTGAGGTCATCATACGAAAAATTCCTGTTTTTTAGAGTGAAGTATAAATGGATGAGGGCACTGCTCATTAAAGATGCTATGTATACCAAAAGCTCATGAGGTAAACCAAAGAAAGAAATATATAGCCCAAAGTTCATGGACACTGTGCATATCCATCCATTCACACATTTTTTCATTAGTAGAGCAACATACACGCCATCCCCCTTCTCTCCCTAAGGAAAGTGTGTCTTAGGAATTACCAAAATCTGGCAGGATGAAGCTAACAAGTGGATTACAAAGCTAAAAGGCTATGACTTATACAAAATTAATAGACCTGACAAAAGGGGAGGAGGCAATATGGGTGAGGAAGTATATATATCTGTAGCAATTCAAGAATTTCAGCCTAAGGGTTCAGCAAGAACATCTGGCTAAAAATACAAAGGAGAAGAATCTATTGTTGAGATTGCCGACTCAGACAAACAATCTGAACAAAGCCCTCCTGGACCAAATGACAGAACTTTTAGGAAGGAGACCTGTAATATTAATAACAGGAGATCTGTTATTTTTCAGGTCTGATGGAAAATAAGCTTAACTAACGATTCAAAATCTCCCACGTTCCTCAGTAGTTCTGCTGACTGCCTCATTTTTTTAGGATGTTGAAGTACAAACAAAAAGAATAGCTCTTCCAAATCAAGTCCTAAACAATAGCAAACAGCTGATTGAAGAACTAAAAATAGTGAGACCATGGATGGAAGTGGCCACAATTCTGGGCTTCAAGAATCATCCTTACCCTAAAAGCAAGTAATATCACACATAAAATCACACATGTATAGTTGACTTTAAGAAAGCTAATTTCAGAGAGCACAGAGGTGTACTAAATGAGGTCCCATGGATGAAAGTCCTCAGGTCAAAGGAACATAGGTAAGTTGGGAAGTTTAAAAAAATAAAATACTAGACACATAACCACACACCACTAAGCTGAGAAGAAAAAGTAGGGAGAAAATAGTTTAGGGAACCACAATGGATATACAGGGGCCTTCTGACTAAGCTATGGAAAGGAATTTGTGTAGGAAATAAAAACTGGGTGAAATTACTAAGGAAGGTATGCTATCAAGTAGCTAATACTTGCAGAAATTAAAAAAAATGCTCAAGGGTAAAAGAAATTCAAGCTTGCAAGGAAAGCCACAAAAAAGGGCTTTTTAGTTATGTCAACCGTAAGAGGGAGAAAAAGGAAGGGATGGGCTCGTGCTGCTAGGAGAGGATGGTAGGATGGTTACAGGTGAAGAGCCCCTTAGTTCTTTCTTTGTTTCAGTCTCCTCCCTCCCTACATGGGAACAGCAGAAGAACTGAGAAAAGCCACAAGATGGTTAGGGACTGTCTGGCTACTACAGATGGGTTTCATTCCCCAGGATCAGATCAAGTATATCCAAGAAGCTTAAAGGAGCATGCAAAGGTTAGTTTGGAGCCTCTTTCTGTGATCTTTGAGAAATCATGGAGGATGGGCAATTTAGAGGACTGAAGTAGGATAAATTTTGTTCTGTCTTCACAAAAGGGGGGAAAACTACAGATTAATCAGCTTGACAATGATACCAGGCAAAACTCTAGAACAGATTATTAAGTAGTCTGTTTGTCAGCATTTAGAAAACAATGCAGCACATGGCAGGAGCCAGCATGGGTTTGTCAAGAACAAGTCACCCCAAATTAATCTGACCTCCATTTTTGGTAGAGTGGCCTGTATACATCAATGACTGCCATTAAAGATGGGAGAAAGAGATGGGTGGCATGCTGTAAAACTGTTCTAGACCTGTGATAACTACATTTTTATCGATGAGTTGGAGGAAAGAGTTGAAGGAATCAGGGAGTTCGTAGATGACACAAAGCTCAAAGAGGTGTCTGATACTTTAGATCAGGGGTGTCAAACTTGCAACGTTACCTGATGTGTCGCAACGTACCACAACTTTTTTGCCATTGCCGGCAATGGGGTGTGGACGCGGTTTTGCTATGATGCATCTGGCCCGCGGGCCGGCAGTTTGACACCCCTGCTTTAGATGAAAGAGAAGATAAAAGAAGATCTTAAATAGGCTTGAGTATTAGAGATGAAATAAATAGAACGAAATCTAACAGGAAGAAATACAATGTTCCTGTGTAACAGGTTCTGCATCTCAGTCTGAAAAATGTAAGGCATGATTTCCGTAAGATAGGACAAGAAACATTACAAGGACAAAGTTCAGGTGGATATCAGGAGAAAAAATCCTAATAGTGGAACTGTTCAAAAATGGCACAGACTTTCTTGGAAGGAGTTGTACTCTTCTTTGTTGGAGTTGTTTAGAGATGGATAGCCATCTACTGGGGATCCTGCAGTAGTGGATTCCTGCAGTGGGCTGGGGTTTGGACAATGTCCAGTCCTTATATTTTATCTACTACTGTATAAGATTCTGCTTTTTCTCCCATACACACCAAATCACTTATCTCCTTCTCTAAACGTTCTTCCTTTCTCTTGCTATGTACATGCATTCAGAGAAGGAGCAGGGCTTTAGTTGACCAATCAAGAGTTTCTGTGGGTTGGAACCTGCCTTAAGAACCAATAAGCTGCTCCCCCACCCAAATGCAACTAAAACTCTACTTAATTATGACTGGTTGCCCAGATCCTCTTTATTGGTCCCTTCATGGTTTGTCAGATACCTTCAAAAGTACCTACCTAGTGTGTGATCAGCACATTCAATGTAGACATTGGGTGAACAGATGGTCTCATTTCCTGAAAGAGAAGAACCTGGGCAGTAGTTAACTAGAGATGTTTGCTTTACCCAGATCTGAACTCCTGCTATTCCTATGGTTGGGACAGAGAGAGGGTGCCTAATAATTTTGCTATGTGGATGTTTATTCTGCTTCCTTGGTACAAATGCATCCGTTGGCTAGAAGCCAGTGTAACATAGTTTTCTCTTCTGTACATGTTGGGCTTGCCATCACCACCAAGTAGTCAGCATAACAATAGACTTGCTAGGAGTGGATGATAGGTGTTGTAGTTCAACACATATGCAGGACACCAAGTGGGGAAAAGTCAGCCTCATGTCATAGTTAAACAATTCTCTGGGCTACATAATATTATTTAGGGCAGTAACCTGGTGATAGTTGAATATATGGAGTCCAAAGACCAGTGAGATTTGTGCATGTGTCAGTAGCACTGCCCCCTCTTGTACTTAGAAATATGGGTCAGGGAGAGAGAATACATGTTTCCAGAATCCATCCAAGGTATTCCAGTGGGGTGGATTGCACTGCAGCAGTGGTGGGATTCAGCCGATTTGCACTACTTCGGCAGAACCGGTAGCTAATTTTTTGTTGCCCAGGCCCAGAATGGACTTCTGGAAGCGGCATCCACACAGAGAACTTGTTGTTCACATATTTGAATCCCACCACTGCACTGCAGCCTATGCTGACAATGACAGATCCTATAAAGAATGAGGGAGTGAAGGTGGCATTAGAGCTTTTGAAAAATGGCTAAGTAGAATTGTTGGCAGGTCTACATATCCCAGGGTGTGAGATAGTTCAGTTCCTCACTTAGAATGCCCAAATTCTAGACTGTAATCATTATGGAACCCCCCCCCCAACACACACACACATCTGTCCCATTAGGTTGAACTCAGAGCAAAACTCTAAGTTGAAGTTAGTTGGTCCATAATGGCTACAACCTTGGAAGGGGGAAGGGGGGGGGCTGGATCAAGTATTATTTTTCCCCTGCTGTACAGGATATAGAGTATAGTATGAGGAGAGGGAGAATTCAAAGCAGTCTCCTCCAGTCTTGTCCCTCTCAAAAGGATGTCTCTTGGGATAATGGGGTGTGTGATTCAACATAATCAGAGAGTACCTAGTGCAGGGGTAGGCAACCTTGGCTCTTTTATGACTTGTGGACTTCAACTCCCAGAATTCCTGAGCCAGCTATGCTGGCTCAGGAATTCTGGGAGTCGAAGTCCACGAGTCATAAAAGAGCCAAGGTTGCCTACCCCTGACCTAGTGAACAAGACTGGTTTACAAATGCTCCATATTTGTGTGGATTTGTGTACCTTTAATGTCGGTATGACAAAAATATTTATCAGATGAAAGGCTTTTGAAGCTGGAAACAAATGGAGGGAAAAGTTTCACCAAGCTTTGTATCAGATTGTGACATTCAAATCACTGGAACAGATGTGAGGAGCAGATGTGAGCAAAGCCAAGGTTGGCCCCACAGGCTCATGGCAAATCAGTTTCTGGAGCAGATTCTCCAGGCAACCAAGAGGTCTGGAGCCGCCTGTGAGGCAGGTTGAGAAGGCTTCCCTTACCTGGCATATGCACCATGCGACACTGGCAGTTTTGCACCACCGCCTCTTTCTCACACTGCAGCCTGCAAGCAGCAATGCTGTATCTCTCGTAGCCAGGCAGGGTCTGTTCCTCCTTCAGGCTGGCCTGGCAGCTCCCCCAAGGCTGGGGCAGGTATGTCAGCTGCAGGAGAAGGGGAGCAAGCTAAACACCAAGAAAAAGCAGTGCTTGTCCAGTGACGTTGTTATGCAAAAAGCCTCTCCTTATACACGCATGTATGCAACCCAACATTCTACTCCATTTTTCCATCACTAAAAACAATCCCCAAACAGGATGCAACTGATTAAAAATGCACAACTAGCAATGTGCTTAAGAAATTTTAAAAAATAAAAGGAAAAGTCTACCAAACAATTAAAAAAAACTTGAAAAGGTAAACAATGCTAGGCTGGAAAAGCATCATAGCACCATAGCACTGAGCAGTGGTGGGATTCAAATATATGAACAACCGGTTCTCTGTGTGGATGCCGCTTCCGGAAGTCCATTCTGGGCCTGGGCAACAAAAAATTAGCTACCAGTTCTGCCGAAGTGGTGCGAACCGGCTGAATCCCAGCACTGGCACTGAGGCTAGTACTGGAAGGAGTGGCACATTCATGAATGAACAGGAAAGGAATTCCAGAACTGGATAGTTGTACCAAAAACGCTGTCCGTTGAGCCACAACTCTAGGAATATATTTTCTTGTTGAAATCCTTTTTCGAGGCCAGACGTCTCCTTCTACAGTAGCCAGCAACTTCTGTTGTAAATAATGTTTTCCCATTTTTCTCCACTCTAAACCTGAAGTGCTAACCATGAATTTCATTCTTTGTTTTTTATTGAAAATTTTTAAAATTTTTACAAATAGGGAAAATAAAAAATAAAAAACAAAAAACAACCCTACCCAACCACCCCAACCCTCCCACTCCGTCCCCCCCAACCTTCCTAGAGCTGAATATAGGCTTAATTAAAATTTCTAAAAATCTTAAAAAGAAATTAAAAAAGTATAAACCATAAATATATCTAAATACATTACATAAACTTATAAGATAATTAACAATAATATATATGTAAAAAAGAAAAGCATAAATATTAAAAAAGAAAAATGCTTAAAAAGAAAAAGAATAAAAGAGAAAAGAAAGAAGAAAAGATGTATATATATATATATATAAAAAGAAGTAAAATAAGATAAAATAAAAATAAGAAATATAAGAAAAGAGAAGAAAAAAAATACAATCTATAAAATATTAAGATTTATATATAAGTTATTGAAAAACTAAGTAATATTTTTTTATATCCAACTTATGTTGTATAAAATCTATCCATTTTTCCCATACCGCAAAAAAATTCTCTTGCGATTGATCCTTTAAAAAAGCCGAAATCTTTGCCATTTCCGCCAAATAAGAAACTTTAAAAAACCATTCTTGCAAGGTAGGCAAAGATTCCTTCTTCCAGTATTGCCCTACTAACAACCTTGCGGCTGTAATTAAATTTAACATCAACCATGAATTTCATTCTTAAGGCTAGAAGATTTTACAGTTGCCTCTGATTTTATGGGTAACATCTCAGGTTGGTGTATTTGCTTTTCTAAATTATTACACCCAGTAGCAGTTAAGAATCTGTACTTAGGAAATCTCTACTTTAAAACCCATCCCTCACTATTACAGCCTCCACATCCTGCAGGATTAGGCTCTGAGTAACATTGAGCGTAAGAGACATAGGCAGCATCTTCTAATATTAATTAGACGTTTGATTTAAATCCACCTTTCCTCCAGGAGGTTAAGGCAGAGTGCTTTGTCTCCAATTTTATTCTTCCAACAGTAAGGTTGGATTTAGAGATGGTGACTGGTCCAAATTCCCTCAAAGAGCTCCTGTGGACGAGGACTAAAATGTTGGGGAACCAGAATGTAGCTAACTTCAAGATCAGAATCTAATGAGGAAATGATGTGATGAGAAGTGACCTATCAAGCCGATTCAAACAGAGTTTGACAGAATGCGAGGAAATGAAACTTCAGTGCATAAATTTTGACTTCTCTTTGGCTCTGAATATTTTCTTAATGCCAATATTTTCTTTAACATTTTCTTAAGGAAAGATGAACCATTCATCCGTATGCACCAATTCACTGATACATTTGAATATTTTTAAACTGACCCCTGCCTTATGCTGAAATTCAAAGAAAGTCAGGTGGCATTAATGACATTTAATCTGAAAATGTGTGGCAATGGGGTGGAGTAGAAGCAGAGATATTAAATTGTCCCTATTCGGTGCAATTAAGATAATAATGCTTAATACTGTGCAAGGATATTTCTTGGAATGACTTTTGAGTCATATGATTTTAAGACTGCACAGCTTTCTCTAATTATAACAACTGTATTTATCTTCTCAAGTTTTTCCTTCTACTCAAAAAATGACAGAATTATTTTATGATCAGCTCCAGAATCTTAAATAATATTGCCTCTTTTTTTCTTTTGTAGAACATACTTACACTACAAAATTACATTTCTTTTTTTTTCATTTTAATTCTCATGATTTCTTCTTGGCTTTTTTTTTTAGAAGTTGTTATCCCATAGAATTACAAGTGCCACAGTTCCCTGGAAAAATGGAATATCCATTAAACCAATTTAAATAGTGCACGAATATTGGCCCATTGTAGAAGAGGCTAGACAAGGAAAACAAAAATGGCCACCTTAAAAAATTGGCAGGTTTTTTGATGTCTTCTTTCAAATTGCATTAGAGATGGAAAACTGCAACATTTACTGAATAACTTGAAAATATGTTCTGCTGCTGTCTTTTTTGGCTGTCAGCTAATGGAGTTATTACTTTATTTAACTCCTTTTCAAGCAAGAGCCTGATTAAAATATCCAGGCTTGACTCACAGGATGATCTCCTCAGAAGAATTCACTATACCAGTAGTAGTCTACATCTGGCACCTACTTCTGGGTGTGGACTGGAACTGACTGGGAGAGATATCTCTGTTCAGTGAAATTCTGACTATGCTTTTTACTGACAACTACTAGACAACCCGTGCATTATTAGATCATCATTTCAGAGATATTTCCTTTCCTAAACAGAAACCAAATGACCACAACTGGGCAAAAGAACAGCGGAAGCAGGAGTGACTTCTAACTCCTGCCAGTTTCCACATTGAGTTTCCTTGTGTGAGGCTGGGAGAGAGCATAAGAAATCTTCCTCCCTTCTTCCCTCCCTCCCTGTCATTCTGTCATTTCCTCCCTCCCTCCCTCTAGTAAATGGCTGCTCACAATAAGAGTTTTAGTAGAAACTTCCTGACAGTTAGAACAATTAACCAGTGGAAGAACCTGCCTCCAGAAGCGGTGAATGCTCCAACGCTGGAAGTTTTTAAGAAGAGACTGGCAGCCATTTGTCTGAAATGGTATAGGGTTTCCTGCCTGAGCAGGGGATTGGACTAGATGACCTCCAAGGTCCCTTCTAACTTTACTACTACTACTACTACTACTACTAGTATATAGAGTAGTATATACTACTATATACTATATATATAGTATATAGTAGTATATAGAGCCTTCCCCTCCTCCAGCTAGTCTTACTAATCAAAGTCCTATGAAGTCCTTGGATTTCTGTTATGATGATATTCTGTTAGCCTTTTGTAAGGCCCTAAAAACCTGGCTATGTTCTCATGCCTGGGGTGCTGAGTGTTTCCTGGCTGTATTACTAACTGATCAAGTATCTTGGTGGCTAGGCATAGTTATTTTGGATGTTTTTAGTGTTTTTATTATTTTAAAATATTTTTAGTATTTTTAATTGTAGCATTTGTTAAATTGTAAGCCACCCAGAATCATTGACTGAGAAAATTGAATAAATGAACGAACAAATCCTTTGAGAATGTTTTCAAAAGAAAATTAGAGTCCAACCAGGTTTGATTTTTTGCAGTTCATAGCTGACTCAAGGGATAAACATCATTTGAGAAAAGTGATGCTACATTACAGATTTCTCCAGTTTTATATCTTTCAGATGTGCAGCACTACAATTTCCAAATCTCCTCTCTAATTGTGGAAAACTCTTTCTTTCTTTCTTTCTTTCTTTCTTTCTTTCTTTCTTTCTTTCTTTCTTTCTTTCTTTCTCCCTCCCTCTCTCTCTCTTTCTCTCCTTCCTTCCTTCCTTCCTTCTTTCATCCATCCATCCATTCATCCATCCATCCATCCATCCATCCATCCATCCATCCATCCATCCATCCTTTGAATTAGTTGGCTTCCAATCTCACTTTGGCAATTCAAAAAAACGCAGCATATACAGTACATTAACAAGAACCTCAAATAACAATTTGACCCAATGCCAGGGAACATATCCAAGTATTTGAGGCTTTGCAAAAAGCCAGCAGAGTCAGGGCCAATATAATCTCGGGGGAAATGAAGTTAAGAATGGTGTCCAGGCGCCGAAGCAGGAAAAGCATGGTTTCTGGGCCTCTGTCTCTCTTATCAACTTTTAGGTGCTATCATGACCCCTCCTTCTTACTCCCACCATTATCAATTTCTCCCAAATAATGCTGATTCACTCTTTGTCAAACTAGCTAGAGGAACTTCTACTTTCTGGCTCTCACCCGCTGCTCCTGGCAGGAAATGAAGGTCTGGAAACCAGGGGAGACTCCAAATCCCAACTGATGAATGTAGGGTGGCTCATCCTGGCTGTGGATCTGTACTCGGATTCCAGCTTCAAATGATGTCTCATCTGGAACGAGAAGTGGTGGTGCTGTGGTTAGGATTTCTTTTGGGAGGCCTAGACATCAGGGGAATGTGTCCATTCATCTGACAACTATGATAATGTATTCGTGCTACTCACTGTAGGCACATTTCTCTATTTTTTTTCCGTCTTATGACTGTGTTTGTTTCCTGCCTTGTCAAGGGGATTTGTTAGTTACTAAATAATAAAAGCAGTCATACAAACACCCGCGAAAACCTCAGAATATATATATATATATATATATATATATATATATATATATATATATATATATATTCTGAGGTTTTCGCGGGTGTTTGTATGTAGGGTTTTGGTTATTGTAGGTATGTTGGTATGTTGGTTATTCGGGTTTTGTCCCGCGTAAAATTGGAGTTTCTTGAAGCACGAAGCTGAAAACACCAGCCTGAAGATGACAAATGGGACTGCGTCGAAACGTCGCCAAGACACTTCCAATTTTACATGGGAGAAAACCCGAATAACCAAAGACCTACACATATATATATTTCTGAGGTTTTCGTGGGTGTTTGTATGTAGATCTTTGGTTATTCGGGTTTTCTCCCGAAGCACGAAGCCGAAAATACCAGCCTGAAGATGATGAATGGGACTTCATCGAAACGTCTCCAAGGCACTTCCAATTTTACGCGGGAGAAAACCCAATAACCAAAGACCTATATACAAACTTTAAAAAAAGTCACAGATAAGCTGCCAGGATCTCTAGAATTGGTACATTAATTTTTTATGAGTTTGACGTGGTGGCATATCCACCACAATTAATTTTTGTATTTTTTCCAGACCAACCCAAGTGTTGGAAAGGGGTTGCCAGCTCTTCTTTCTGAGCCTCCCTCCACCCTCCCAGTCACGTGACCCGTACTGCATTTATTACTAAGGGATTAGAAAGAATTCTAAAAGCTGTCATCTGCATGCTTTCCCTGCTTTGTTTAAAACACAAAATATGTAGTGATAACCAAACTATTTGGATATTTGTTTGATATTCAGGTATTGAATAGGGTATGCAGCAGTTTTCCCAACCCCGGGGACTTGGCTCTTCAACTCCCAACACAACTGGAGGAGAACAGAAATCTGGTACAGAATTTTTTTACTATTACAAGTAACACATTTTTGACTCTTAGTTAGTTTCATCCTAAGACAGATAGTCATTTAATCAATATTTCTGGGCTTTGGGGATTAATTCCTTTATTCAGGGTAGAATGGGGCAACTGAATGGAGCTGAGTATTTACTGGCTGGATGCCCTTCCTCACGCCTAGACAGAGTTCGCAGATGTTTTCTCTGATAGAGAAATATCTGCCGCTGCCTAGGATTGAACTCTCAACCTTCTGAGTGGGAGATGAGTATCTTCACCTGTGGGCCACTATACTGCTTAATATCTGTCATGGATAAAAAGAGTAAAACAGAAAGTCAGGACAGAATCATATATCTTCTTAATATCATGCAAACTCTTACTGGTTTCTCTCCAGATGGGCAAGTATTCCTCCTGTTGGATGTCCAACATGATCTCCAGCCCATTCCCCATCCCACTCTGGCGAGTCATCCGTGCTTTGTTTCGGTCACCATTGAATGTGTAGCATTTTCCATAGCGGGTGTAGACCTGCGGAGAAAGGACAAATCAAAGGGGTCCAGTATTCTGAGGATGCCAACAATATTGCAGATATCAGTACGGTTACAAGGAGTGGGAAGATTTCCTTTCATCTGTGGCTATTCCAATCCGATCCATTCTTCACTCTGTTTACATTTTTCTTTCATCAGGAAAGAAAAAAACTGTGGTATTCCAAATATTGCTGGATTCTAATTCCCATCAGCTTCAGCCAATATGCTGGAGGCTATAATCAAGAAATTTTTATTTTTATTTTCCTCCCCCTTCCTTTGCTTAATGAGTGTGTAAGAGAGAGGGGGGGAGAGAGAGAGAGAGAGAGAGAGAGAGAGAGAGAGAGAGAGAGAGAAAGAGAGAGAGAGAGAGAGAGAGAGAGAGAGAGAGAGAGAGAGAGAGAGAGAGAGAAAGAAAGAGAGAGAGAGAGAGAGAGCGTGCTCCAGTCCTGTCTGATAAAGTTTTATTTCTTGGCTACTTTCATCACATCAGGGGACAATTCACTATTCACTCCTGCATAAAAGAGAGATGGATATAAAACAATCCAGAGAGGAATGAAATTATATAGTCACACAAGAAACAAAGAATACTACCATCTTTACAAAGTCAGAGGGCACATTTATTGTGCACTTCTCAGGGGCAGCTAGCTAGTTACTGAGAAGCAAACATAGAACTAGAAAGGATTTTGATGTGAACCAGTGGCTTTTGTAATTTTATAATATACAATGCAGCAACTATCTGATTTTCCTGAGAGTGGGAATGGAGAAGGGGAGAGAAATGGTGCTTGAAATCAAAGATCATAGCAACCTCCAGAATTCAATGGCAAGTTTGAAAGGGATACTAATCAGAGGGGAACCAACATGAAATCCAACATCAGATATCCCTCAAGGAGTGATGTTGGCTGCTTTTGTATCTTGGGCTCTCAAGAAGTTCAGCTGCTTTCTGAAACAAACTGGAGAAACCATTCTAAATTTTATAAGGCACTCAGAGTCACCTACATATAAATTGAGAGACTATAGAAATTTAATAAATATTTTTTTTAAATCCTATCTTTTGATGTTCATCAGATACTATCAGGATATTAATATTAATCACTTTAAATCAATTCCTTTTTTCCTTGGTCACTGTCAGTCTGATAGTTCAGATTTCTGAACTCTGGGATCTATCAGAAATATTTTAGGATTTTTTTCCCTGTAGAATCAAGATGCACACAATACTTTGATCATCCCAGTAGGTGAAGCCATGGTAGTTCTTGTCAAAACCAATGGGTGGCTTATTAACAGAGATAATAGGTATAATAGAAGTGCTGTTCAGACACTAGGAAGAAAAGAATATCAATTGCCAAGAAAACAGAACTGAAATAGAAGCTAAGTTTATATTTCATATTTTCCCCCAAGTCATATTGCTAAGCCATGCCCTAAAATTCATAGCATCTTAGTCCCCAGCACGGGTGTGTGTGTATGTCATAATTTCAGAATGAAAAATAACAGAAGCATATGATGAAAGAGTAGATTATTTGCATTCTGCTAAAACAAGTAAAGGTTAACTGGCCACCTCTTTATAAGACAGGCAGGCAAGCAGAGATCTCAGGGGACTTAGAAAGAGAGGCTAATAAAAAATTCAGATAATGGGACATAGAATAAAAAAGAGAAAGTAAGAGCAGATAACCTGTACACATGCAATAAAAGGCAGACATTGGTAGCCCTTTCTCTGTAAATAAGTCCAGATAAGTTCATGGGTATGAACCTGAAAAGAAAAAAACATACATCCCATGCTATCTATTCATACAGTGTTGCTGATAAATAAATTTTATTTTATCATCCCATCATCTCATAACGGCAACATTATGCTAAAAGGGGACATTTTAAGAAAGGAGAGAACCTCATTTTAAGAATGATCATTTTGATTTGATGGGCCAAGGCTCTGAATTATATTTATTTCCAAAATAAACATCATGCTGCTGCTGATCAAATAAATGGGTTTTTGTTTTGTTTTTTGCAAATAGCCCTCCAGTTTTTTTGTACTTCCAGTTCAACCTTCACATGTCTCCCTCCTCTCCTGTTCCATGAGAATACCCACCTTTCCTTGCTATAAGCATCTATCCATATGAGCTTCATTCACAAAATTCATAACTGGCAACACAACACATTCAGTGGGCACTGGGCTCTTGGCCTAACATCAGAGACACAGCAACAGGATCATTGGAATGATCTACCCATTGGCACGGCTTCTGTATGTCCATTTACACACAAAGCTTCCTGTGATTGAGCCATTGCCTGCCAATTTATTGAGAATCCCAATCCCATGAATGTGTGAATTGCCTTGTCCAAGATAAATATCCCATTGCCAGTAGCAAATGAACAGTTTCTTTTCCTAAGAGTGATATAAATTGTTCTGCTATTTTTTTCATTCCTCCTGTCAGTAATAATTCATAAGCACCTACTTGGGTTCTTTTACAACAAGGAATTTGGTGCATTTTTGGATCATAGTACCCATCAATCCCAGTCACAAACAAATGGAGTGCACAAGAATGTGGCCAAATCTTCTCAAGGCTCTAGGTTGTCTGTTCCTGGATAGATAGTGCTTTTCCAATATCTCCTCTGCAGGATGCTTTAATATACAGACCTCTCCCTATTAAGGAATCTAATAATAATAATAATAATAATAATAATAATAATAATAATAATAATAATAATAATAATAATAATAGAGTTGGAAAGGACCTTGGAGATCTTCTAGTCCAAATCCCTGCTCAGGCAGAAAACCCAATATACCATGGGTGTCAAACTTGCCACGTTGCGTGACGTGTCACGATGTATTGCGACTTTTTTTGCATTGCCGGAGCTGGGGTGGGTGCGGCCTCCGTATGATGCAACCGGCCTGTAGGCCGGCAGTTTGACTCCTCTGCCCTATACTATTTCAGACAAATGGCTGTCCAGTCTCTTCTTAAAAACTTCCAGTGTTGGCGCATTCACAACTTCTGGAGGCAGGTTGTTTCACTGATTAATTAATTCTAACTGTCAGGAAAATTATCCTTAGTTCTAGGTTGCTTCTCTCTTTGATTAGTTTCCATCTGTTGCTTCTTGTCTTGCCTTCAGGTGCTTTGGAGAATAGGTTGATCCCCTCCTCTTTGTCTCAGCCCCTTAGATATTAGAACACTACAACCATGTCACCTCTAGTCCTTCTCTTCATTAAACTAGACATACCCAGTTCCAGCAACCGTTCCTTATATCTTTTAGCCTCCAGTCCTCTAATCATCTTTGTTGCTCTTTTCTGTACTCTTTCTAGAGTCTCAACATCTTTTTTACACTGTGGTGACCAAAACTGGATGCAGTATTCCAAGTGTGGCTTTACCAAGGCATTGTAAAGTGGTATTAACACTTCACATGATCTTGATTCTATCCCTGTTAATGCAGCCTAACATTGTGTTGGCTTTTTTGGCAGCTGCAGCACACTGCTGGCTCATAGTTAAGTGATTGTACACTAGGACTCTAAGATCCCTCTCATAATTGCTACTATTGAGCAAGGTATCACGTATACTATACCTGTGTATTTGGGTTGTCTTGCCTAAATGTAGAACCTTACTTTTTTCATCATTGAATTTCATTTTGCTAGATAGCGCCCAATGTTCAAGTCTGTCAAGATCCTTCTGTATCTTAAGCCTGTCTTCTGGAATGTTGGCTATTCCTTCCAGCTTGGTGTCATCTGCAAATTTGATGAGTTCCCCATCTATTCCCTCATCCAAATCATTGATGAAGATGTTGAGGAGCACTGGGCCTGGAACAAAGCTCTGGGGTACCCCTATACACTTCCCTCCATGTAGATGCAGTTCCATTGAGGACCACATGCTGAGTACGGCCGGTCAGCTACGATCCATCTGGTGGTGATGCTGTCTAACCTTATCTTATCAAGTAGAAGGTTGTGGTCTACTTTATCAAATGTCTTACTGAAGTCCAAATAAATTATATCCACAGCATTCTTCTGGTCCACTAATTTTGTCACCTGGTCAAAGAATGCAATAAGATTTAATAGGAAAAAATCTTCTTAAAAATCTCCAGTGATGGAGCACCCACAATTTCTGAAGGCAAGCTGTTCCACTGGTTAATTGTCCTCACTGTCAGGAAATGTATCCTTAATTCCAGGTTGCTTCTCTCTTTGATCAGTTTCCAACCATTGTTTCTTGTCCTGCTCTCTGGTGCTTTGGTGAATAATGTGACTCCCTCTTCTTTGTGGCAGCCTGTCAAATACTGGAATACTGCTATCATGTCTCCCCTATTTCTTCTTTTCTTTAGACTAGCCAAACCCAAGTTCTGCAGCTGTTCTTCATATGTTTTAGTCCCCAGGCCTTTGATCATCTAGTTGCTCTTGTCTGATTTTTTTCCAAACTCTAAACATCTTTTTTGTGATATGGTGATCAAAATTGACTGCAGTATTCCAGGTGTGGTCTTACTAGGGTTTTATAAAGCGGTACTAATACTTCACGTGATCTTGATTCTATGCCTCTGTTTGTACAGCCCAGGACTGTATTACTTTTTTGGCTGTTGCTGCACACTGCTGGCTTATAGTCAAGTGATCATCCACTTTGTTTGCCTCTAAACATTTGCTGATTTCTTGCTTATTTTTTCCAAAACTTCCCAGGTATTGAGGTCAGGCTGATAGATCTGTAGTTTCCTGGATTCCATTTTCCCCCTTTTTTGAAGATGGAAACTACGTCAGCTCTTTTCCAGTCTTCTGGTAGTTGCCCAGTGCTCCAGGATCTTTAAAAGATATAGTTCAGTGGTTCTGAGATCACATCTGCCAGTTCCTACCTTGGGGTGTAATCCATCTGGTCCTGGTGATTTGAACTCATCTAGGGTAGACAGATGCTCACTTACCATTTTCTTGCCTATTTTAACTTGTGTTTCTAATCTCTTTTTTACAATACTGTTTTTGATAAGTTGGACTGTTTTTTCCCTTTGTGTAAAGATGGATGCAAAAAACAAGTTAAGTAGTTCTACTTTCTC